TGAGTGTGTTCACTCTTCATCTTTGCCAACAGATTGTTCTTGAATGCTCCCCTTGACTTACCTGCTGGTCATCTTAAGTCTACTGATACAATAACCAAAAGGCAGCTGTTTTGACTATTACAAATGGAGGATACTAATAATTTTTATTGCAAAGATTGAGAAGTTAAATAAATTTTTAATAAATAAGATGCAGATGTGGCATTCCTGTGAGGTTAAAGATTAATTAGTTAGATTACATTGGAAACAACGTTCAAGCTACTCTGAGTAATTAATCTCATTTTAAAACAGTATCAGCATTTACTGAAATTGAGTTTGTGCTTTCAATTGAGTTTCTTTACCTGCAGGCACACTCACATAGAACCACACTTCCACTTCTTCTCACTGTAACTGGGGAACACATACATGGTCTTTTTGTGGGTTCTTAGTTCCATAGATGAAGCATTTGCTCATATTGTTCTATTACTTAATAATAAAAACTTGGGAGTCAGATATTGGGATAAAAACCTTATGGATCCAAAGAGTGGTGGAGGAATGATCAGTTGACCCTGCCTCTTCATACCTCATAGATAAATCTCTCTAAGTCCCTCCCTATATCTTCCTGTTCCCCCCCTATCTGGGTCCTCCAAAACCTCTAGGGCTAATTCTTGTAAAACAACTGACAATTCCACTCTCTGATTCAAGGTAAACCTTATTGTCTCAGAGTGTCAGTGCAAACAAATGTTCCACAACATTTCCCCCTTTTTGTCTAAATAAGATGGAAAGGTTTTAACTTTAACAAAATGAAACTATATACAATAAGAACAATTATCAAAAAATTACATTCACAATGTCCAGTCCATTTATATTTGGCAACTTCAGAGAAAATATTCCATTATCTATCCTATTTTGGTGAGTCCAAAGTTTTGTATCTAACTCACTTTCTGTCATAACTTGTATTACTAGCCTAGAAATATCTTTTAGACCTTAAAATATTATCTTAGACAAACAACTTAAGCTTTTTTTTTTTTTTTTGGTTTTTCGAGACAGGGTTTCTCTGTATTGTTTTGGAGACTGTCCTGGAACTAGCTCTGTAGACTAGGCTGGCCTCGAACTCACAGAGATCTGCCTGCCTCTGCCTCCCCAGTGCTGGGGTTAAAGGCGTGCGCCAGCAATGCCCAGCACAACTTAAGCTTTTATATCTCTCAACCCTATACACTTTACATCTTTTTTTGTGAGTTTCTTTTCTGAATTTGGTAACAAGGAAAACTGTAACAATAAGTATTTAGTCTTCAACTCTATCATAGACCCAAGAAAGATGTAATATTACCTGAGTAAACAAGAAGTACAAAGTGAACAACTTGCAAAACTATAGAAATGACAGAGATAGCTGATTGCCTGGACAGTCACCCAAGGTTCCTCTGCAACATTGGGGCATCCATCTTTGGCTATAGGCCTAGGCTATCTGACAAACTTTTCTTTGAAGCAGGAATTTTTGGAGGACTGACTACCTTGTCTTGGCAAAGTTTTGTAGCCACCTTCTTTTGTGTTCTGCTTGTCCTATTTGGACAGGAAACTGTCAGCAGTTGAAGCAAGAGCAGTTCTTGCTCAGTGGTTAACTTTGCCACAATGAAAGAAAACTCCATATGTAAGTTCTTTGATGCCCATCACCCTTTTTTGAAGTAAATTGGTGCTTCCAGGAGAAGACATGTCTCACTGTCATGAAAAGCCTTTTGTTATTAAAACACCTTAAATGCCATTTTCTTTAAAGACATATGTTTGACCTTGAAAACATATCTAACATGGGCACAAAGTTGACTGTTTTAGATGACTAGGTACTAACCTGCATTTCTTAATTATTCTAAATAGTTTGCAATAATAGCTTTCAAGGACTAGAAATTTACATAACATTGTTAAATGAGCTGCATAGGTACAATACCTTAAACAAGAGTAGAAACATTTATACACTATAACAAAAGTAGCCTTAAATTTGAATCAATACACAAAAATACCTTAAACAAAATCAGAAATGTATATATAAAATGTCCTACAAATAACCCTAAATTTGTATTAATATACAAAAATCTATACCAATTTTACTAGAGACTAGTAGTTGCTCTTTTTTTAGTTTAAAAGTAGATTCAATAATCTACCCTTTTTTTCCTATCATTCCTATATCCCTCTTTTTTCTTTTCAGAACCAGATTCCTACATCTAATCTCCTTTGCTTAGTTTCCTCCCTGACCATGACCAATAACAACGTGCCACCAACCCCACCTAAATGATGATAAACATCTATAGCTCACTGACCACTAAAAACCCACCCACCCCACTTCCTGTTGTATGGGGGAGACAGCATCTTTAGGAAACCCTGAGGAAATTGAGATAATGATTAAGTCCTGGGAGAGCTAGCTGTTGTTCAGTATCTGTGTGATAGGAAAGTGCAGAACTTATCTAAAGTCCTGGCTGGAGTAGTCTATGAGGCTGGACCATCTTACCTAACCACTTTGAAGTTGTTCTGAACAGTGTGTAGTCCAATGCTGACCTTTGGGTGATGTTTGTCATCTTAGTGGTGTTACCACAATCCAGGAGAATTCGTCATCAACATAACACATATCCTGGTTCCCATTCTGAGGTCAACACATATTTAAAGTATACATGCTGATTTAATTCAGCAGTTATTTCTACTACCCAATATCTCTTCTCATCTGTCTTTCCTTTCTCATTAGCATTTTAAAAATTGAAGTTAATAAAGTATTGTATAATCTATCTCTGAGGGTCTTTATTACCCCTTTCTGTTTATTAAGCATATCTTTTAAAGTGAGATTAGATCTTTCTATAACTGTTTGCCCTATAGGAGTGTATGATATACCTATAATATGCTTTATGTGGTAATATGCAAAAACCCTCTCATTTTACTAGAGACATATACTGGAGCATTGTCAGTCTTAACTTGTACTGGTATTCCCACAATTGCTATAATTTTCTAATAAATTTGTAATTACAAAATCAGTTTTTTCAGAACTTAAAGAAATTGCACGTTGAAATCCTGAATGTGTATCTAGGGTCTGCTGCACATACTTCAATTTTCCAAACTCCAGAAAATCAAACACGTCCATTTGCCACATTTCATTTCTTTGAGTATCCTTTGGGTTACTTTCTGCAGGCCATAGAGTTTGCTTATATAGAAAACATTAGGGCATTTCTTTATAATTTCCTTTGCTTGTTGCCAAATAATAGAAAAATCTTTCTTCAAACCTTTGCTATTAACATGGTGTTTCTTATGAAATTCTGAGACTTCTAGCACATTTGCTCCTGTAGCTGATCAATTTCATCCTCACTTTGTGCTAGAAAAGTTAAGGAGGAAAGGGTTTATTCAGTTTACACTTCCACATAACTGAAGGAAGTCAGGACAGGAACTCAAACATGGTAGGAACCTGAAGTCAGGAGCTGATGCAGAGGCCATGGAAGGGAGCTGCTTACTGACTTACTTCTGGCTTGCTCAGCCTGCTTTCTTGTAGAACTCAAGACCAGCAGCCTAGGGGTGGCCCCACACACCATGAGCTGGGCCCTCCCCCACTGATCACTAATTGAAAAAATGCCTTACAGCTGGAGCTCATGGAGGCATTTCTTCAACTGAACCTCTTTCCTCTCTGATGACTATAGTTTGTGTCAACATAAAGTCAGTCAGTACAACTATGATTCTTGAAGTTTCAGGGACACATAGGTATTTTTTTGTTGTTGTTGGTTGTTGGTTGGTTGGTTTGTTTTGGCAGTGTGTGTGTGTGTGTGTGTGTGTGTGTGATGTATGAAGGGGTTGCATGCTTACAGAGTATATATGTAAATGTCAGAGGACAATTTGGGGCATTGGTCATCACACAACATCCACCATTTGAGACAGGATCTCTCACTGTCTTGAGATTTGCTTTAGGCCAGAGTAGCTGGCCCTTGAGCTCCCAGGGACCCACCTGTCTTTATTTCCCATCTTGCCATTACTGGGATTGAAGGCACATCTTACTGCACCCAGTTTTTTACATGGGTCCACATTCAAGGTGTCTTGTTTGCAAGGATGTACTTTAGCAACAGCTATATTGCAGCCTCCATTTATGTGAACTCAAGACTAATAGGAGACAAGAGTACATTTTTTGTGGTTTCATAGTCTTTTGGATAGTTTAGAAAGTCATGTATTTATCTAGGGTGTATGACTCAGTTCCTGGTCTTTTGACCAAAGAAATAACGTATTATAAAGTGTGTAAGAAAAATATTACAAGTCTATGATAGTCATGTGTCCTCAGGAGGCAATTCTGCTAATTGACCTCAGGCAGAGCCTGTGTCCCTACCTTCCTCCTTTTCGTATGCTATTATAAACTTCAGGAGAGGCAGCTGAGTAGTGATATTGTCTCAGTTCTTAAAATTATCATATTCCAAGGAAGTGGGGTCTGTATTAGTTACTGAACTTGTTGCTTTGACAAAAGACCTGATAAGCCACTTCAGAAAGGAGGTGTTTGTTTGCCTGCTATGAGGAGGGAGGCATAGAAGTGGGCACAGAAGGCAGCTACTTACACTGAAGCCACAGTTAGTGGATGCTGGAGTTCAGCAAACTGTCTCTTTTATGTACTCTGGGACACCAATTGATGGAACAGTGCCCAGACAGTTAGGGTGGCGCCTTAACATACCAAAGGCTTGTCGTTTCAGTGGTCTACATCCTGTCAAGTTGACAATCCATATTAAGAATCAAAGAGTTAATTATGATTATGGTTATGAAGAAGAGGTTCACCATTTCATGGCCTTCAAGCTTCCTGTCTAATTGGTTGCTTAACATCACCTAAGCATGTGCTCTAGAGATTAAGTGAGCTGTCATAGACTTTATCAATTCATGAGGTTTCTTCAGAAAATATAACCTAATATCTTTCCCAAAGGTGACATCTTATTACTAAATTTGTGGCTGAGAATGAAAATTGCTCATTTACAACTGGAACTTAAACTTTTAACTCTATATGTTCCTTGGATTTTTGTTTCCTCCAGGTGCATTTTGAATAGTGTCTGAGACGAACTCAACCCAGAAGAGCAAAATGATCCTCAATTCTTCTACTGAAGATGGAATTAAAAGAATCCAAGACGACTGCCCCAAGGCCGGCAGGCACAATTACATATTTGTCATGATTCCTACCCTCTACAGCATCATCTTTGTGGTGGGAATATTTGGAAACAGCTTGGTGGTGATTGTCATTTATTTCTACATGAAGCTGAAGACTGTGGCTAGTGTTTTTCTTCTGAATCTAGCTCTGGCGGACTTATGCTTTTTGCTGACTTTGCCACTGTGGGCTGTCTATACAGCTATGGAATACCGCTGGCCCTTTGGCAATCACCTATGTAAGATTGCTTCAGCCAGTGTCAGTTTCAACCTCTATGCCAGTGTGTTCCTGCTCACCAGTCTCAGCATTGATCGCTACCTGGCCATTGTCCACCCAATGAAGTCTCGCCTCCGACGCACAATGCTGGTGGCCAAAGTTACCTGCATCATCATTTGGTTGATGGCTGGCTTGGCCAGTTTGCCAGCTATTATCCACAGAAATGTGTATTTCATCGAGAACACCAACATCACAGTTTGTGCTTTCCATTATGAATCTCAGAACTCAACCCTCCCCATTGGGCTGGGCCTGACCAAGAATATTCTGGGCTTCATGTTCCCTTTTCTGATCATCCTCACCAGCTATACTCTTATTTGGAAAGCCCTAAAGAAGGCTTATGAAATTCAGAAGAACAAGCCAAGAAACGATGACATCTTTAGGATAATTATGGCGATCGTGCTTTTCTTTTTCTTTTCCTGGGTTCCCCACCAAATCTTCACTTTTCTGGATGTCCTGATTCAGCTGGGGGTCATCCGCGACTGTAAAATCGCCGACATCGTGGACACTGCCATGCCCATCACTATCTGCATAGCTTATTTTAACAACTGCCTGAACCCTCTGTTTTATGGCTTTCTGGGGAAAAAGTTTAAGAAATATTTTCTCCAGCTTCTGAAATACATTCCCCCAAAGGCCAAGTCCCACTCAAGCCTGTCTACAAAAATGAGCACACTTTCCTACCGCCCTTCGGATAACATGAGCTCATCGGCCAAAAAGCCTGCGTCTTGTTTTGAGGTGGAGTGACAGGTCCAAAGTCTGCTGGTGAAGTAGTGTCCTGACAGAAGCCAGGGCAGCATCCTACTAGACGGCACACTACCAAAGGAACATTCACCCCTGCATAGGAGCTAAGCAGAAAGTGCGTTCCATGGACCGTAGATGTTTTCTAAAACTCTGAGAGAAAGCTTTGACAAGCTCCCAAGCAAAGCCACTCCTTGCCACGTCTTTCGTTATTAGATGATGGCTGCCCAAAGGAAGACTCAGGAGCTGGATAGATTTGTGGATTAGGAAAACATTTACTGGCAGAAATGCACTCTCCTCAGTCTCCTCTTGCTATGTTCCTTTTGATTTCCACATGAAGGTATGTAGAACATGTTAAATATTTAGACAAGCAACAAGAGGCAGGAAGAGGTCAAGATAATTTGTTCTGTTCAATTTGTAAAGACAAGAAACCTTTTTTGTCTCTCTAGTGGTTAGTAATGGCGACCCACTTGTCCCTGTTACTACATATATTGTGCAAAGATTTGCTAAGCTGTAGTCATTGGGTTTCAGGACCCCTTTGTACAATTCGGCCCGTGTGTTACAAATGCCCACTGTCCCCAAACAGTGCCAACTAGTGGTGTATTTATGTAGCAGTGTTACCAAAGTCACACATCAAAGTCAAACTGCTTGTAATAACTGTGACTTCCTAGGTACATCAGCTTCATTTCACATTTGAGAATTGTATACAGTTGGTGGTAAATAGACTATATATCGTAAAATCTGTCTTGCTCTCTAAAAAAGTATCTATTCTCTACACATATGTATATCTATATCTCTGAACTGTCATTTGATGAAAATCTGTCGATGTTATGTTTACCACACAATAAAGTAATTTTATTGTAAAGTATCTAATCTTCATTATTTAAAAGAGAAATCCATATCTTTTTACAATGACATGGATGTAAGTGCCAATATATTTTTACTTTGTTTTATCTGATTGATAGTTCAATATTGTTAGATAGCTTTTATAACCCACTGTTGAAAAAAATCAAGAAGGAACCAGTTGGTTATGCTGCACAATGTGGGACAAATGCACTATTTTGAAATTTTTGAAGTTTTTCATACAACAACAAAAACATTTTCATTGCTCATAAAATTAAATTAATACATTGTTTTACTCATAAGTTTTTAAATAATCGCAAGCCTCTACTTATCTGCATGAACATTGCAGGAGATTTAGAAGCCCTTGAAAGCACAAAATGATAGTAATATTTAGTTCTTTAGCACAAAAAAATTTCATTTTAGTGTTTTAGGCCATGTCTTCTATTATTTTTCTATTCATCATATATACATACATATATGAATTATGATGGAGTCATAACATATATGTGATTCTGTATACAGGTTTTTCCCTCAGTGTCATTGCATAGTAGTTAGTATCCCATTAAATATATTTCCTCAAACATTTTAATATTGGTAAAAAATACATGCACACCTAATATAATTAGGGGATCACCAAATTGGAATGTTTACCAATTTATTGGTATCAAAAATAGCACTGTGCTGATCACTCAAGTACTTGAATTTGACAAATACCTCACACTCTAAGAAGTAGTAGAACCAAGAATACAGTTGCAAACATTTTTCATATTCCCAGTGTATGTGGCCAAATATTTTCCAAAAAACACAGCACAATTTATCTGCCACCAACTATGTTTGGCTGCAGCTCGTGACAGCCTCAGCAGAAAGGGGCTTATTTACTGAAAGAATCCAGGTACCTTATTCAAAGGCAGGGAATAAACTAGGGCAGAATGTTTCCATGGGGCAACTAGCTCATTCTTTACCCTATAAGTGTTCACTGTCCATTCCCCAGGCATGCTAAGGTGTTTGTTCTGATCTAATAAACTGTGCAAAGCTTTAGGCAATATTTAGAACAATTGATTACAATAATGATTAGAATAGTTGATAGATGCTATGGGCAAGGAGGCCATTCAGAGGCATATTGATGGACAGGACAGGACCAACACATCATCTCAGTCATATTCTTGGAAATGAATGTGGTTACATGGGCTTCATATTCAGTTTTTTCTTGTTTTATTTTAAGTTTCAGTAACGCATTGCTGGGTACTTATTTCAGTTTTCTTATATTTTCAAAATGATTGTGTGGTATATTTAATGAGCTATAAATCTCAGACATTTGAATACGTGGTCCCCAGTTGGTGACTGTCTGGGCAGAGGTGGGGTGGGGGTGTGGGGAATCAGGAGATGTGACCTTGCTGAAACAGGTATGCCACTAGGGGTTGGCTTCGAGTTTTTAGAAGACTGGAGCCATTCCAGATCATTCTCTCTGCTTTCTGTTTATGGATGAAGATGTGAGCTCTCAGCTGCCGCTTGGAAAACATACTTGCCTGCCTTTTACCAAGCTCCTCACCAAGATGGTTATGAACTCTTACCCCATAAGCCCCAAATAAAACCTTTCTTCTATAAATTGTCTTGGTCATGATGTTTTGTCACAATAGACTAGTAACTAGTACAGATTTCCTCCAAACATTAAATTTTACCTCATCTCAAATGAGACACCATGATATATTTTTTATGAACATATTTAAGGTAAGTGCACTATTTGCTTTTGGAATATCTTTTAAATATGCAAAATCCAAAGATGTACCATGGAGAAATGCAGGAGCTACATAAATAAGTCTTATCCCTCTAACTACATGGGACTGAAAATCTGACAATACCTGCTATTATAAATTAATTGTAGCTGAAACCTATCTCCTGATGTGGCACGGTGGCAAAATATTGACTATAATAAATCTAATTTGAAGCATGGAATCATAAGGAAGGAAGTGAGCAACCACACCACCTGATGGTCTAAACAGATGGCCTTGATGCTGTTAGGCGTCCCCACTAGACCTGGCAGCCCATTAGTTCTCTTGATCTCATAGAAAGAGCAAACACAACATTCCACCTGGCCCAAGTCCAGTAGAACATATCTCCATCAAACTCATCTCTGCTTGAGAAAACATATAGTGAGGTTAAGAAGTGAATTGCCATGATCAGAAAGAGCCAGAATTAGTAACTTAGAATGAGCTTGTGCAGCTTTAGCAATATTTAATTATGTCACTCACACACAAGAAAGCTTTGGATAGTTACATTTTTATGAGTTGAAAAACCCTAAGATTTACCCTTCGCCAGCATGATAAGAAAGTATTTATTAGCATGAGGTGTAAATTTAAATGATAAGTGATATGAATTTTGAGGCCATTTACAGCAGACTTATTACAGTGACTTAGTTTTAATAATCCTAATGGCAGTGAGTCATAGATGCCCCTGGGGCCAGTTCTTGATTCTTTCCATGTCTATAAAGTTTCTTTTAAAAAGCTAAACAGGATGAGAAAACAGGGATTCTGAGTAAACCTGCCTGTGAATTGGGTTAGAGCTCACAGAAACAGTTTTTCAAGCACAATGAAGTTAAGCAGGACTGTTCTCCTTCACTCAGGTACTAAGTGGATAATGGGAAAGAAGTAGACCCTTCTACTGATGCTGTCGTTATAGCTACTTCTTGAACTCCCAAAGACTCTCATCTCCTGCATCCCATTAGATCACCCACTGAGTCTAGACTCTGGTTAAAACTCCCTCCCACCCCTGCCCCCCAACCTTAAGTAAACTGGTCCATTCTCTTCTCCCAGCTCTGATGGTATGCTTATGTGATCTCAGTGTTGCCCAATCTGAACAAATTGCTGGATTTTGCCAGGAGAAACTATCAAGGCAAAATGCCGATTTTCCCCATTACACAAAGTCTAAGTGAATTTGAAGTGCTATTCCTTCCGAGGAGGATGCGGGAATTTCCAGGAACTTATGTGGATATCCTGGCTTTTCCCTCTTCCTAGGCCCTGGGCAACCTGGCTCTGTTCCTGGTCCTGATTCCTCTCCTTCTCCCGCCTGGTGTCACTCTGCACCAGCCTTCTCCTGGGCCTGGGCCTTCTCCTTAGGGAGCCTTTTCTGGTCTCTGGGCCTCTCTAATCCTTTGGCTTTGTCCCTGCCCCGGGATCACTTTTCTCCAGGCAACCTTCCTTCACGCCAATCTATCTTTGACAGGTGTTTGCTCCTCACTGACAGCTCAAAGGCTGCCAAAGGTTGCATGGCTATGTTGTGCATGTGTTAGGTGACTGACTGCATAAGGACTCTGCATGCAGAAACCATGTGGAGCTAGGGCCTTGAGGAGCTCCGTAGCTCCATGATTCCAGTTCCAAGGGTCCCAGCTGCTAAGCCTCGTTCTAAACTGCTCCCTTTCCCTTTGTAACCAAGCACCTCCTGCCTTCTCTCTCTCTCTTTCCATTTCTGCTCCCAATCGGTTAACACCTACCCATCTTTCGCTCCTTTTCCCGATAAACGCCATATGGGTTTGTTGAGTTTGGTAGATGGTGTTCCATTGCCCTAAGTTGCAGCAAAGAACAACAACTTATACAGAAATATTAAGATTATTGGCAACATAATGAAGACTGGACAAAAATCTTTGGGACATCATTTGAGAATTTCCAGGAGCTATTACCATCCTTCAGATATCTGAATTATTTTTGGTCTCCTGCCAGTTGAGGATGAAGAAAATTATACACTAAACCCCAGCTCTCTGTGGAACCATTGTAGCCATTATGCAGTTCTTTGTGGAGTCTGGTAGAGGATGCTCAGTGTATATACATCACATTATCCAGTCTTTGTCACTCAGTCATGCCAGTTCTCTTATTATCCAATGAGATACAAAGAAGCTTAACCAAGCTACACCATTCCTTGTGGATGCTGGCAGGGAATGTGAACCTGCGTGCACTTACTCTAGAATCTGCCCTGAAGCTGCTTTTTTTCCCCATGGCAACTTCTAAAGGGGTATCACATATTCTGAATCATGTAGATATTTCTAAAAATAAGCTTCCTTGACTACTTATTCAAAGTCAATATAAGACTTTGTTTTGTCTTAGGCCACATTTACTGAATTTCATCTAGAATTTGCCCTTGAGAAGTGGGCTCATTAATGGGAAAGATTGGCAGATCTTACAGTAGAGCACTGAATTTTATGTTTATTTTAATTCAATTTGGGCACTGAGTTATATGCTTATTTTAATTCAGTTTGGGCTGAGCATGCATTTCATCCAACAACCAAGCAGGCTACAACTGTTTGCTGTATAAGTAACAAAATGCTCTGGTTCTTTTTATAGCTAAGAAAGTAGATAGTATTTACTAAATGAGATGGGAGAAGAAATTCCCAAATTAGTGTTTATGGCAAAGTTTTACCTTTTATAACCTGCTAAAATGATGCTCTTTGGGAAGTACTGAGGAGAGACTATATTATATTCTGGAAAAGAATTCCCAGGAGGGATACAGTTCAGCTTTGGCAATGGATTTAGGTGAAGGATTAACCCAAGGTGGGAGAACCCCAGATTGTTGTTTATTTCAATTGTACACAGAAAACCAGGGGACAAGAAGATCCGAGATGTGACTCCTGAGGTCATTTCTAGCAGTGTCACTGAAAACCGCCTCTACAGAATGCTGTTCAGAACATGGAACAGGAAGAGAGCGGCAACATGACAGACTTACTCTTGACCTTGCAGTTTGGTCCAGGAACTACTAGACAGAAAGGGAGCAATTGCTCATTAAACATTTGGAAATAAAGCCTTATAGCCTCAAGCCAGGGAAGGACAAAATTGACAATCCCTACTGCAGAAGAATAAGAAAGGAACCACAATTAAGTTCTGTGGGTTAGCTGCAAAGCCTTGTGGTGAATAATGTGTGAGTATCCTGATTTTCACAACTTATAATGTGCTCATTCTCCCTAGTTTTCCTGTTCTCCCCTGCAATGTCACAAATTGCACTGCATGTGAACATCAGCTACTATTTCATGGGAAAAACTGC